GCTTTCCCTCAACGCCGGTCGTGGGTAGTACCACCTGCCCTTCATTCCCTCTAGAACTGCCTCCAACCTGGTCGGGGTCTCCGGGGTTGTCTTTCGTTTATAATGCAACGCCATCATCTATTTTATTAAAGTTTGTATGAGAATCAGATGGATCTGTAAATATATAAGACAATTTCTTTACCCGGGCAAATCGACTACTTAACGTCACACAACAACATGGACGCCACACGAACAATACTGCTATACGTAAATATAATTTTCTATTTCTCCTCTTGCTAAATAATCTCGTTTCAATAAAATCTCCATCAGCGAGACAAAACAAGATTCCCGTTAAGCGAGATAAAATAACATTCACGTTAAGCGAGACAAAATAACATTCACGTTAACCGAGACAAAATAACATTCACGTCAAGTGTAATAAAACGAGATTTACGTTAAGCAAGACAAAACGTGATTCACGTTAAGCGAGACGAAAAAGATTTAAGTTAAGCGAGACAAAACGCGATTCACGTTAAGCTTATCAACGCCTGATATTTAAATTAAATTTGGTGTTTGAGAAATAAAAACAGAGTTGGAATTATTTAAAATCTAGTTTTGGAAACGATGCCCTGATGACGAAGTCAAATGTTTGTTAATGTTTTTATTGCTGTAAATTCTTTATTTTAGATATTTATCGCATTCAGCCGGAGATTGTAACCATGTAAAATCGTTTTTAATCACTGTTTCGTCTCGTTTATTTGGCTGCATTTGATTGCAATGGAATAGATTTATTGTTATTGTTTCATGTCAATTTTATTGTTGTGGGGTTTCTTCAGTATAACGAAATCTGTCTCAGACAGCTAAATTGTTTATAAGAGGCCTAGCAGGAGAGGAGATATTTAAACAAGGAATGTAGATTAAATATTTTAAAACAAATCTAGTCTTTCGTTTATAACGAAACGACATCAGCTATGTTATTAAAATTTGTATAAAGATTCGATGGATAGGTAAATATATAAGATAATTTTTCCCCGGGCAAATCGATTTCTTAATGTCAAACCAACCACGTGCACACCACACACAGAAATTATTCCTTTCCTTTTGAGACTCTACGCATGCACGTAAATATAATAAATATAATTTTCTCTTTCTCCCTTATTTTAGAGTTGTTCTTTATATAAAAAAAATGGATATAAAACCAACTCACGTGTTGAATTTCTTTATTTTCAAAGATTTTAAACACTCCCCGTTACAATTTTTAAACCGCCTCATCCAATACAATGCTTGATCTTCATCTTTAATCTTAATCCTTAATCTTAATCCCATGCTGTTTTTGTTGTTGAGGGATTTCTTTAGGCTAGGGAAATCTGCTGCCGAGGAGATCTTAAATTTATTTCCATATAGTGCATGTGAAAATGAAATATTTAAACAAGTCCCCGTAAATAACAACAGTTGATTAAAAATAATAAAAAATATGTATTCCTATAATAAAATAATTAGTAATAGATTTACACATATATATTATATATTGTCTATTTACTGAGCGTTCAGCCAGTGCTACTTTCTGTTGAAATTTATAAAACAATCTATTTAGGAAAATGATCTGTCTATATTTCTGAGATGAGGTATTATGTACATTATTTACAATATTCGAACTATTGTCCTCATCTTTGTATCCATGTTTATCACAACGTTTCGGCCCTTCAGTATCTGTCTATATTTCTGAGATGAGGTATTATGTACACTATTTACATTATTCGGACTATTGTCCTCATCTTTGTCACCATATTTATTGCAACGTTTCGGCCTTTCAGTATCTGTCTATATTTCTGAGATGAGGTATTATGTACACTATTAACATTATTTGGACTATTGTCCTCATCTTTGTCTCCATATTTATTACAACGTTTTGGCCTTTCAGTATCTGTCTATATTTGTGAGATGAGGTATTATGTACACTATTTACATTATTCGGACTATTGTCCTCATCTTTGTCACCATATTTATTGCAACGTTTCGGCCTTTCAGTATCTGTCTATATTTCTGAGATGAGGTATTATGTACACTATTTACATTATTCGGACTATTGTCCTCATCTTCGTTGCCATATTTATTACAACGTTTCGCCCTTTCAGTATCTGTCTATATTTCTGAGATGAGGTATTATGTACATTATTTACATTATTAGGACTATTGTCCTCATCTTTGTCGCCATGTTTATCGCAACGTTTCGGCCGTTGTACGTTCCGGGCTTCTTCGGGTGGCTGGAATGTCGAACTGAACCCTTTATTTAGCTCACTGGGGTAGACTGTTCTATTTCCTGTCACTGGATCTTTCTAACGCCTTTATCCACTGTGCCCAAATAATGTGAGTTCAATACCTGGTTAAGGCAGTAGAGAACTTTCAGTGGGGAATTAACAGGAGATAACTGACATCCATTAGACATGGCACGTGGAAGAAATAGTGTACATAATACCTCATCTCAAAAATATAGACAGATACTGATAGGCCGAAACTCTTGTAATAAATATTGCGGCAAAGATGAGGACAATAGTAATGTTCTACATCAATACCTGTGGTATGCTCTTGATGTAAATACATGCATATGGCCATTCGACAATGAGTAGTTAAATCTCAGCATTATAATTAACTAGCTTAAAACCTCGGTATCAGGCGGCATTTCAGCTAACTCCTGCGTAGGGCTCTTGATTGGGCCTTCGCCTTGTTTAGGAGATTTGAGATTCTTTAAGTCTTTGTATATTCTCAGCATTGGAAGACTCTCCTGGCTGCCGTTTGATCTTGGTTTTCATTTGACCGGGACTTTCTTTTCCTCGCTGCAACCTTGGCTCTTTTTATTGCAATCTGGTCCTCTGCTGGGAGAGATTTCTTTTTGCTGTTTTTTAACGAATTGATTTAATAAAAAAAGCACATAAACTCAAAAGTCTACAGACCTCGATATCTCTAATATGCGTGAAGATTGTGCTTATATGTATATACGAGCTTTCGGGCGGCATTTAAACACTTTATTAGACACTTTATTAGACTTTTGGCTTGTTCAGTAGTTTGAGAGTCCCTAAGTCTTTGCATATTCTCAGTATTGGAAGGCTCTCCTGGCTGCCATTTGATCTGAGTTTTCATTTGCATGGGACTTTTTTTTCCTCGCTGCAACCTTGGCTCTTTTTATTTTAATCATCATTTTAATCATTAAATGTCTATCAGATTTCCAGACAGCACTTTTAGTTAGAAGATTGTTTTTTTTTTTTCATATATTATTCACTAGCTAAAAGTCACCTTATCTTGATTCGGCCTTTGGCTTGTTCAGATGTTTGAGAGTCCCTAAGTTTTTCCATATTCTCAGCATTGGAAGGCTCTCCTGGCTGCCATTTGATCTGGTTTTTTATTTGCACAGGACTTTCTTTTCCTCGCTGCAGCCTTGGCTCATTTGATTGCAATCTGGTCCTCTCCTGGGAGAGATTTCTTTTTGCAGTTTTTTTAACGAAATTATTTAATAAATAAAAACACATAAGCACAAAAGTCCACAGACTCCTGTATCTCTAATATGTGTGTATGTTGTGCTTATATATATATATGACCTATTGGACATCATTGAAACTAGCTCCTACGGAGGGATCTTTATTAGACTTTGCATATTCTCAGCATTGGAAGCTCTCCTAGCTGCCATTTGATCCTGGGTTTTCCTGGGTGTGCCACGTCCTGTTAATTCCCCTCTCCAAGTTCTCCACTGCCTTAACCGGTATTGAACTCACACACTTCGGTTCCTATCACTGGATCTAACGAACGCCTTTATCTACTGTGCCATGTGTCCTTGAGGCGTTAGTTAGATCCAGTGATAAGACACAAAGAGTGTGAGTTCAATACCCAGTTAAGGCAGTGGTGAACTTGAAGTGGGGAATTAACAGGAGATAATTGATAACTCACATCCATTAAACATGGCACGTAGAATTATAACAGTCTATCCCAGTGAGCGTAATAAAGTGTTCAGTTCGATATTCCAATCACCTGAAGAAGGCCGGAGCGTACACAGGCCGAAACGTTGTAATAAATATGACGACAAAGATGAGGACAATAGTCCAAATAATGTACATAATATCTCATCTCAGAAATATAGATAGATACTGAAAAGCCGAAACGTTGTAATAAATATGGTGACAAAGATAAGTCAATAGTCCGAATAATGTAAATAGTGTACATAATACCTCATCTCAGAAATATAGACAGATACTGAAAGGCCGAAACGTTGTGATAAATATGACAACAAAGATGAGGACATTAGTCCGAATAATGTAAATAGTGTACATAATACGTCATCTCAGAAATATAGACAGATATTGAAAGGCCGAAACGTTGTGATAAATATGACAACAAAGATGAGGACATTAGTCCGAATAATGTAAATAGTGCACATAATACCTCATCTCAGAAATATAGACATATACTGTTTCTCCTGTTTTTAGCTTTGTCAGCACCCAATTCTTATTTTTTTTCATTCGCTAGAGAGAAAGGCATACAATTTTTTCATATTTTTTTATTATTTTTTAACGATTACATTATCTTTGCAATATTTTAATTATCTCGAATTTTTTAAAGTTGTATTAATAATAACAATAATAACAACGGTAATGTCCTTGGATGAGTGTAATTATTTCATCTTTATTCTTTTTAGCTGATCGGATGTTGGGCCGTTTGAAACCACATCCTCTTAGCCTTGTATTCAGCTATATTGAAGGGCTACTTTAAATTCAGGGGATTAGGTTTCAGATGGATTACGCGTGGGAAAAGGACCGTATGTGCGCTTTACACGGAAAGGACTCGAAAAATTGTGTAGCAAACAAAATGATTTTGCGAAATGCCAAAACAAACAGACGTTTAATGTAAGAAAATAAAACAATATATATATATATATATATATATATATATATATATAAAGAGGAATTTTGAAATAGAAAACAAAGGAAGAAAACATGAACGCAGTGAATGAAATACTAATATGACAGAAGACGATGGAGCAGGAAAAACCAAAATGGCGCTCGGAAAGAAGCGTTAATGTGCTTAAAAAAAAACTGACCAATCAGAAACGAGAAAGGCGAAGTCGTATTGAAAACCACTCCATATATTCGGTTTGCTTTTTGTTGCTAGGCTTTTTAGAAAAAGGAAGGAATTATTTCAAGGAAAACAAAGACTAAATATTTACTGAAAGGAAACAAAATGTTAAAACAAGAATACTAAAAAAAAAATAACCATTTAGTCTTTTAGGTTTCCCTCGAGAAGGCAAATGTGGAGAAAGGGATGACTTTGACATGGAAGAAAAATTAAGATATTTTACCTTTTTTCTTCTTCGCCTTCATTTTTTTTTCTCTTTTTCATTTACTTCATTCATCTATTCTTGCTAACTTGCTACCTATCTGCATATTTTTCTCTCAGTCTCATTCATTTCATATCTATCTATCTATCTATCTATCTATCTATCTATCTATCTATCTATCTATTTGAATCTCTTCATATCTATCTATCTATCTATCTCAACCTATTCATATCTATTTATATCTATCTATCTATCTATCTATCTATCTATCTATCTTATCTATCTATTTATCTATCATATCTATCTATCTTCTATCTATTCTATCTATCTATCTATCTATCTATCTATCTATCTATCTATCTCAGTCTATATTTTCTTTCTTTCTTTGTTTCTTTTTTTCTTTCTATTTCTGTTCCATATCTATCTATCTATCTATCTATCTATCTATCTATCTATCTATCTATCTATCTCAGTCTATATTTTCTTTCTTTCTTTGTTTCTTTTTTTCTTTCTATTTCTGTTCCATATCTATCTATCTATCTATAACAGACATTCATTTGTCTCTCTCCCTCTCTCTCTCTCTTTGCCTAGTGAACGTAATGTATCCTCAGTCAGTACATGTTTATCTATCTATCTATCTATCTATCTATCTATCTATCTATCTATCTATCTATCTATCTATCTATCTATCTATTTCAGTCTCTTCATATCTATCTATCTATCTATCTATCTATCTATCTATCTATCTATCTATCTATCTATCTCAGTCTATATTTTCTTTCTTTGTTTCTTTTTTTCTTTCTATTTCTGTTCCATATCTATCTATCTATCTATCTATCTATCTATCTATCTATCTATCTATCTATCTCAGTCTATATTTTCTTTCTTTCTTTGTTTCTTTTTTTCTTTCTATTTCTGTTCCATATTTATCTATCTCTATCTATCTATCTATCTATCTATCTATCTATCTATCTATCTATCTATCTCTCTATCTATCTCAGTCTATATTTTCTTTCTTTCTTTGTTTCTTTTTTTCTTTCTATTTCTGTTCCATATCTATCTATCTATCTATCTATCTATCTATCTATCTATCTATAACAGACATTCATTTGTCTCTCTCCCTCTCTCTCTCTCTTTGCCTAGTGAACGTAATGTATCCTCAGTCAGTACATGTTTATCTATCTATCTATCTATCTATCTATCTATCTATCTATCTATCTATCTATTTCAGTCTCTTCATATCTATCTATCTATCTATCTATCTATCTATCTATCTATCTCAGTCTATATTTTCTTTCTTTGTTTCTTTTTTTCTTTCTATTTCTGTTCCATATCTATCTATCTATCTATCTATCTATCTATCTCAGTCTATATTTTCTTTCTTTCTTTGTTTCTTTTTTTCTTTCTATTTCTGTTCCATATCTATCTATCTATCTATCTATCTATCTATCTATCTATCTCAGTCTATATTTTCTTTCTTTCTTTGTTTCTTTTTTCTTTCTATTTCTGTTCCATATCTATCTATCTCTCTATCTATCTATCTATCTATCTATCTATCTATCTATCTATCTATCTATCTCAGTCTCTTCATATCAGTCTCTTCATATCAGTCTCTTCATATCTATCTATCTATCTATCTATCTATCTATCTATCTATCTATCTAATATTTTTAGACTACTCAATGTTTTCATATTTAACTTTCTTCTAACTGAAATTAGAGCATTTCAGGGTTTAATTATATTTGTATTGAGAAGGTTCCGTTCATCTCAGCAGCATATTGTTTTTACTGTGCAAAATCTGAACGTTAAGATATCGATTTGTTTTTTTTACGAATTATCGCCCCTTTGCTGATTATTTAAAATCAGAAATTATTTCTAGAGTGTAAGTATTTTTTGCAGATAATAGTGATTTACTGATACAATTCCTACTAATGAACACATACCTGCGGCGAAAAGCGGATTCATACATTTCCCCAGAGTAAGTGTATATAACGAACCTGACTGGAATTGGAACTCAGCTCTCCGATTTCCATTTCTAAGTCATTATTCATTACACCACCCCCATATTCAGGCTTAGAGCACCTGGTATTACCAAGCAGTCACCCACCTAGGTACTGACCGGATCTGACGTTGCTTAACCTTTAACATGATGTGATTTTGCATGCAAAACAAAAATGAAAAAAACTGAAAATATTTTTGCCTTTGATATAAATTAAGTTTAAATTTGAACAATGGAATGAGATCTAAAGTACTTGGATAAGTGTATTTCATTTTGATCAAAGGGGATTCCGGGTGTCACCCCAACTGAAATTTCCGCCCAATTTGATTTACGTTAAATTTAAATTTAAAAACGGAATGACTCCTATTCAAAATATAGGAGAAAGCCAGAAGATGGAGGTCACATCGTCATGATCATTGAGTAATAGTGAAATGCCTCATTTTTCTGCATAAATTATACTAATGATTTAAAAGCAAGTGCATCGACAAGATCAAAATGAGTCAATATAGACGTCAAGCTGAACAAGAAATCACCAATCATTTGGTAGTTCCTTACAATACATATTTGTTGTGACAATTCACCTGTCATATCAATGTTGAAATCTACTCATCAATTCATTCAATCAAGTATTGTATCAAATACATATCAAAGGTTTCAGATCAAGCTGTTTTGCACAAACACCCTCCCCAATTAATTTTTTCTATTTGATTTAAAATAAAATTAAATTTGAACAAGGGAGTGACAAAAATATAGAAGGAGAAAACCAGAAGATGGAGGTCATATTGGCAAGATCATTGAGTAATATTGAAATGCATCAGTTTTCTATACAAGTTATAACAAATATTTCAGATCAATCATCAGTTTGTTATAAAAAAAATATGTGACGCAGCCAGGCGCGGATAACTCGACTAGTAAATTTATAAAGTTGAAGTAGCAAAGAGGAAAGTTCCTCAGAACGATTACCATGGAATTATTTACAGAGTAGGCAGAGGGAAACTACGTTACGACAGCGGGAAAGGGACTGAGGCCAAGATGCTAGGTCAGGACCATTAACATTGCAGATTCTTCTTAGGATTTCATAAAGGATTTTTAAATACATGATAGATGAACCAAAACAGATGTGACAGTAATATTCAATATTTGAATGAATGGTACCCAGATAGATGTGAAAGCTAAAGTATGCGATGGATAAATTGTCAAAATGGCGCCAAAATGTAAATAACACCGACATCACATTTTAATAGATATACCGTATATTCCGTCTTACAAGACGCACCTTTCCAAAGAAATACACTGAAAAATACATGTGCATTTTCCAAGGCGAATGTAAGGCAACTTCGGACGCTCATCTAATTGGCTTGACTGATAGGGACGTGGATTTGTATGCTGAGTCATTACAATATAATGTTAGCTATCTAATTCAGTCTTTTATATGATGTAACCACAGTACTTAGCTATTACAAGTATTTTCAAGACTATAAACCTTCCTGGAGCCGAGCCACAAACTTAAACATGCTCTGTTTCCTAGTTGTGACGGAAGCCTCTCTGCACGTGACTAGTATATCATTGCCATACAAACAAAATTGAACAAGTGCTTAATGTAAGCAATGCGTGGCACCAGTATGTGAGGGATGCATGGTGAATGTGTTGTTGTATGGGAACGATTTTTTTTTTCTTAGAAATTTCTTTTCAATATTAGGTTGCGTCTTCGAAGCCGAAGGCGGAAAATACGGTATTTACCAAAAATTACAGAAAAAAAACTTGAAATACTAAAGAGTAGATTTATTCGATAAATTCGCTATTGGCTTCAACAATGGCTTTCAGACGACTTCGAAATCTCCTGCAACTCTTCAGAACTGTCTCCTTGTTTAAATTGGTGAATGCTGTCATAATCCTTGCCTTCAGTTCATCTTTAGTGTTTTGCTGGTCTCTCGCTCAACTACACCCCACACATAATAATCAAGCAGTTTGGGTAGCTAGGTGGCCAGATATAAGGGGTAATGTGGTCGCAGAATTTGTCCGACAGTCATGACTGTGTTTTCCTGCTTGTGTGACATGGTGCAGAATCCTGTTGTCAGACATATGATCTTCCAGTAGCCACCCTCTTGACCCAGGGCAGCACTACCTCCTCAAGGCACTTGATATAGGCCTTTATGTTGAGTTTGTGGATAGGTGAATGAAGGCATCGCGTCAATATCAATAGTGATCACTCCAAACATCATGACGTTTTGGATATACCATCCAACTCTTTCCGAATCGTCTGCATTACATCAGATTGACAACCACTCTAAAATGTTTGTACTGAAGCAGTATAGAATACCTTTTTTCCAAATTTCTAGCGGAGATAACTGCGTCATGGTTATCTTTCTTTCTCACAGACGTTGCCTAACTGACTCTACTCTACTGTGTAGTCGACAAGATAAAAAAAACAAACAATACGCATGCGTGAAATTAAAAATCTAAAATGGCGACAATTTACCCAAGCAATTAATTCTGTCTATTCTTTCCGTGTCATGTCTGCAAAAAAAATAAAAAATAGAAAAAACATTCGTAACATCGGATATTTTCTTGTTGGTCAGGGCATATGTTCTTTTTCTCAAATCCTTTCTGCTGATATTTTTCAAGACAGTTTTTTTTCAAATTCTTACATTACTAAAGTCTTCAATTTCTTTCTTGATTTTTCTCTTGATCAATCGAAAATATGGGCTTTTGTACCCGAAAAATAAGCGGAGTATGAAAAGGGTATTATTTTCCCATACAACTTCTTTCATTTTAACTACTTCCACTCCTCGACAGTGTTTCTTGTTTTAAAAATCGGTAATTAGAATTTTCATAAAACAAACATATGAAAGGGAATATATACATTTTGTTTTATAGGAGAATTTAAACTATTTATTTATTAGATTGTTTATTGGAAT